GTGTGTGTGTGTGTGTGTGTGTGTGTGTGTGTGTGCGTGCTCGCCTGCATGATTGGCAAATTTTCCCTGCCATTTCCTCCAGGTATTATTTCTTTCACAGCTGTGTTTTTTTTTTTTGGTTGTTTTTTTTAGTTTTGAGAGAAGGTGCATGGAGAAAACACACAATGACACACACATACATTCAAGCACACACTCCCAAGTTCTGTCTCTCATCCTCACGGCCAAGTCTGCGCTTTAATTGGCTCCTTGCGGGACTAAAGCCCCACTAACACACACAAAAACACACACACAGACACACATGCACACACAGCGTTCTCCCAGGAGAAACAAGAAGAAAAGAGGAGATGATGGAATAGATGACTTGGAGGTAGGAGCGGGCGGGGTGGTGGTGAGGAACAGATTAAAAACTTTCCAATCAGTGGTTTTGCATCCTTTAAACACTCCTCCCTGCTTCCTCCTCCACTTCACGGGTCTCACCTCCTCTCCCTGTTGCTGCGTCTCCTCTCAGAGGGTGTTGTCGATCTTATTGTTAGCGTCCACAACTCCAGAGGCTCTGTAGCAATACCAGTCAACTGATGCCGTCAGCCTCTGCAAACAAAACAGATCAACGTAAAACACACACGTCTCGCCACTAAAAAATAAAACCCTGTTGGACATGAAGCCAGAAGGACGAATCAACAAGACACCAACTAGCTTTGTGTGTTTTTTTGTTTGTTTTTTTAATGTAAAATTGTGAAAAGAAAACAGCAGTGCTGTTTATCTTTTTTTATGGTTTTAAACCCTAAATGTGAAAATGTAAATTCGTGCTAATTAAAAATCCACAGTGTTTGATTTTTTTTTGCTTCATCTGTCTACATCCCAATTAAAATACGCTGTTGTTTTTATAATATGTAGTGATACCAGAAATGACTGAAGTCACCAAAAAAGAAGATTTTATAGTGGCTGGAAAACAGCTTAAAAATATTGGCAAACGGCTGCACTCAAACCCCGTTCTTCAGGACTATTAATGCTGTTTTGTTCACAGTAAGATCATCAGCTCTCAGTGAGATGTGTCGACTCCCTCCAAATAAAACAAACATCCACAGTGAGAAGTGAAAACGTAGTGCGCAGAGTTCTGCCATGAATTCCAGTTTCACCAGAAGGTAGCAATTGGTGCACTACAAATACAGCTAATCAACTAGTCTTCATTAAAGTAAACAAAAATTAGCCTTTTTTATTTTGCTATTGTCTAATTTAGTTTTAAAAAATTGGTTTAAAAATACGTTTTATTATCCAATTTTTTTTGAAAGAGAAAAACCAAAGAATGAACCACACATGGATTAGAAAGGCTACATTTGTTTGTTTTTTTCTTTTTTCTTTTAATGGTTAAAGCAAAAACAAGCTTTTTATTTTATTTGTGCACCATTTGGCATCTTCTGGCAGAATAGGAAATCATGGCCTGAACTCTTGGCGCACTACGTTTTCACCTCTCACCGTGGATGTTTGTCTTATTTAGAGGGAGTCGACACAACCCAGAGCTGATGATCTTACAGTGAACAACACTGCTTTAATATTCAAGTTAGGTAGAACAGGGTTTGATGCAGCCATTGTCAAAATCTTTAGGAATGATTTAGGTTTTAAAGTCTTCCAGCCACTACAAACTTTTCTTCTTTAGCGACTTCGGTCCTTTCCGGTATCACTACATATTAAAACATCTTTTTTGACAGCTGAGGCAAAAATCAATAACTGTGGATTTTTATATGGTTCATTTCTACATTTGTTTTTTTAAAAACAGAAAAACAACACTGTTGAGTTTCCTCATTTTATTTTGAAATGAAAAACCACAGATCGAACCATACACAGACTTACACGGATTGTAAATAATTGATATTTTGAGTCTTTTTGCACTCCTATAAACTGCTCACATGAGCAAAATGTGTTTTCTTCTTTAACCCCCACCCCCGGTTTCTGGTGTTTTACAGTGTGTTTGGTTGAGTTCTGCTCCAGCTTGCAGAGCTGCAATGTAGAAAAAAACCCAATGTGAAAATTACAGACACAGTAAGACACTGAATGGACTCGAGACAAAGGGTGGCAGCATGCCAGCACTCCACTTCAAACGCAATAAAAAATAT